ACACTCTCATTTTTCAAAGATCTTTGGATACTAACTGATTTATTAATCAGTGTTAGATCCTTGTTTTGGTTAAATTGGACGTTATCTGATTTTTTGAGATAACCCAATTATTGCTTCCGATTTTTTCACAAATAAAGTCATGCGTTAATTCACAATTTTATTTAATTTTATTTAAAATTGCAATAAATATTTGCAGAATGTTATCACGTTCTTTCCACGTTCTTGACTGCGATCGTTGCTTCGACGAAAAAACTTTATCACCAGAATTAAACCTGAATTATATTGAATTAATCCGAATTCTTAAAAGCACTGGTTTTAGCAATGAGTTCATGACGCCAGTCATACAATTTTTACAGTCAAAATTAATATTATAAGAGAAATTTTTATTTTTAGTGAAATAACATTTTACATATTACAGAATTACGAGAATATTTGACAGAAATTCGAAAACCGATATTATCACCGATTATAACTATCAGAATTCGCAAAGCGGAGTATTTTATCTCATTCTCGATTGAACATATTTTCGCTTTGTATTAAATATTTTTCAAATAAATTTTGACATTAAATCGATATCGCGATAAATATTTGTTAAATAATAATAATTACGAAATCCCATAATTTGATCATTGCGAAATGTTACTGCGTTCTTTTCATTTTCTTCAGTGCGATCGTTGCCTCGGGCTATACATCTTCGGTATTAGATGGACGTTAATAAATACATTTGTATCGATAAAAAGCCATAATAATTTTTACTGGAGGGTTATTTCTCGTCAGTTTGGTACTCTGTCAAAAATCGAGAATATCTATTATAGAGCTGGGATTAAATCAGATTTTATTTAATTAAACACTGATTTCACCGTGATGATGACTATACAACTTTTAGAGTCATAAAATTAATCAGTTATGAGAGATTATTTAATCCTTTTCAATACATATTTTTCCATTAACGCTAATTTTATCGAATCTTACTTATGAAAAAACAGTAAAGAAGTCAACGTAAATATAATAGTTGTTTATGAACTACATAAAAAAAAATAAAAAATGAAAGAAAATAAAAAAAGACTTGTACAAGAGTAAAAAAGAGAGAAAGTAAAAATTAGTACGAAATAGTTACAAACGAGTAATTTTATTTTTTAATTTCTTCAGAGAACATTACGACGTTTTAAAGACGTTTTTAAAAGACATCTTATATTTTTATAAAACATTTTATAAAACTATCAGAGAGACGTCGTTATGACATCTTTAAGACTTCTTATGATCCGACTTATGACATCTTTGAAGCATCTTATAGACGTCTTATTTTAATTAATTTAAACCACTTTTAGACATTGTAAAATAAAAATTAATAATACGGAAACGCGTTAACAAGAAGAAAATGTGCGAAAGAGGAGCTACTGTTGCTTGATAAATCTCGTATATCAATATAAATAACTTTATACATATTTTATAATCATTAATTTTATAATTAGTATATAAATAATGTAATATTTACATAACTTTGATAACAATCTATATATTACAACAGAAATAGGTTTTATCGTTACAATTTAGAAACAGTCGCCTTGATATTTTCATATATCTTAATTTTTAACTCTATATAAGTAATTCCAAAATTTGCTATTAAAGTATTGTGTCATGCTTTTTTATTTTATACAAATTGTCTTTAGTTTATAAATAGATATAGATATAATAAATAATATATTTTACGTCTATATTCTCCACATCTATATGTAAATTTTTATTAAGTTGTATAAGAAAACGATCTTTTATTACCAAAATACGGAGCAATCAGAAAAATGCTTTTAGACGGATAATTGAATTATTGATTGTGCTACGTATTGCGTGATTCTTCTTCAGTTCTCATTCTCGACACATCGGTATCTCTGCGACTTAATATGGACAATCCTTCATAAATTACTTTCACTTACACAAAGTAGATTATAGTCTGTCCCAACACATTTCTAATGATGAAGATTAACTAAACGTTTTCTGAATAAAGTATTACGTTATTGGTATAACATACTAATGCATAGATATATATTTAATTGTGTCACAGATATATTTAGATCATTATTGTTAAACTATTAGAAAAATTATGAAATAATTTTATGAAATTATTCCGGCGGAGGATCGGTGGAGTGGACGCAGGCCAGCGGAAGGTTGGCGGAAGATCGGTGGAGTAAACGCAGGCCGGTGGGTGGTCGGATATTGGAGTATATCTTATATATTTACGAACTCTCTAAATCTGAATCAGTGAATAGTACTGCTGAATCAGTGACTATTCATTGATTCAGATTTAGAGAGAAGAAAAGAATTAATACTCTTTTCTGAGATCACTGCACTAGAATTGCAATAGAATCTGATCAGCACACGAAATACAAGTCGGAGGCGAGGAGAATGGAAAGCAAGGTGCAGCTTGCTATTCTTTCGTGGTGCAAATGTAACACAATAGCATATCGTGCTGTCTTTTACCCCGTTTTCCGATAGCTAAACTTAGTGGATCGGTTATAATGGATATGGAGCACGAAGAGCATTAGCCATTTACGGTAGTCGAAAACAGTGATAAATCGCTATTTTTGTGTCGCACTACGTAATTATGTCCGACAAGAATAATTTTATTTGCAATGTTTGTAATAACGCAACAAACATGTATAGTGGGTTCTATTTTATGCTAAATTAAGAATTAAATGAGCTGTAAATTAATTAAATGTCAGTGACCTAATTGTATAAATAAATATACTGAAATGTATTTTAATTATTAAAAAACTGTATTATACTTACGGTTTTTTTTAATTTATATGCAAAAGTTAAATATACATATAATTAGACGTGCTATAATTTTTTATTTGTGCTTCATGCATAGCTGTCTTGCAAGTGCAACACTAATAGTGTATTTTAAAAATTAATTAAAGTGAGAAAATCTTAACACGAAGATATTATTTGAGAATATAATAATGTTTCTTGTTATAATTGCGATCAATTAAGCAAAACAGTAAATAGTATGTTGTATAAAATTTGCGCGCTCAAACTCGTAATTATATCGATTTAAAAAAGTATATGATTTTATTTAAGGAAAAGTGCAATTTTAATTTGCAAAAGCATTGGTGTGTATTGTTCGAAAAAATATAATCATGGAATTTGTAGTATTGTACTAAACAGTGAAAATATTTTCTCTGCCACATTTTTATCTTGATTTAAAATTGAGCTATAATCTAATCAAGTTATTAGAATCACGCTATATATACGTACGTACCGAATTCTCATTTATTATTGATTTTCACAACTCAAGTGATATTGATTTTCTCTGCTGAACTAATTTTATCCCCGACATTTTCGCTGTAGAATCTTTCAATTTAATTAATTTTCCGAAATATGGTGTATAAAAATACAAAAATACAAATATAATTTATATGTGGAAAAAATTGACTGCGTTCCTCTTTTACTCTCTCATATTTTACCGTTGAAATAATAAGCTAAATTAAGAAAAAACGCTCTAGTTTTGCTTCACTCTCTTATCAATTCTGGTTAGTGAAAAATGATGCAAAGAGTAGAACGTCCCTTATGCGCCAACTTCCAGACTTGAGCAATTTTTTTTAGGTCGTCCACAGACAAAATGGTAGGAGAAAATAGGAGTTTATTAGGGAGCAAAATTGAGAGATAAAAGACGTACTTTAGCGTCTCGTTATTTTTTTACCGTTGAGAGTTTTACAAATTACAAAATTAAAACATTCTTGTTCTTGTCTTCAGAGACACGACATAGTACAGTTTAACAATGTTTTCTCGAGCGCGGTACATTCTTTTTGCTCGAGAAACGTGTACACAAAACCATATATTTACATACGTCAAAAAGACAAAAAGGAGGAAGGAAATTAAATACCGGTCCAATTTTTTCGCGAGATTATTTGTTCTAGCAAAATTTCTTCGTGCATGGTCGAAAAGCGTTTCGCGCGTATAAGAGTCTTAACGGTGACGCCCATCTACGTAAAAGGGAATGTTTGCCGGCGACCGGGGTATAATAGGTGGGCCCCATAGAGAGGATGCGCTAGTACCCCGATAATAGCCCCAGCCGCAAAATAAAAGACCGCGTAACGATCGGGTTTAGTGTGGTAGACCGAGCGACATACACAGGGCCTTCCGCGCTTCCGCTGCCCCGCGTCGTCGTCTTTAGCCGTCGTAAAACACACCGCGGAACGACACGTCGTTTCACGAAATGAGAAAAAAGTCGTGGTTGAAACGCGCATGGCGCGGGGGGATGTTCGAAATACAACGAAACCCCACCCTCTCGCGCGGGAGCCACATGTTGCGAAAGACGGTTCGCTTTTCTATTATGGTGCATCTGTCCTGCGCTTAATTACTAATTAAAATACTTTTGTGATTGTTAATTGAAATGCACCGTCATCGTCTGTGTGAAAAGTTTTGAACCGAATATATTTTTCCACAGCGGCTCTTCTTCAGCGAACAGTTTTTTTTCTTTTTTTTTTAATAACAAATCTTCGACTGAATCGTTTGGTAAAATCCATGTTAATTAAGGATGAAGGAGTCACCGGAAATTCTATATGTATAATAATATAAATATTTTAATATGTTGATGTTTTAGTAAACTGTGCACTTGCTAATGTAACTCTTTATGAAGCGAAATACAGAAGCATTACACAATTACATTCATTACAATCTCTATTACCGTAAAAAATGTTATGTTCACGTTCATTAATCACGAGTCATTTATGCAGAATTATATACGCGTTTCTATTGGGATTTTATTCACCTGTATTTTGGTCAATGCTGATAGTTAATAGATGCTTCTAATCTGCTAACTACGCCTGAAATAATTATTAAACAGATGAACGTACTACGCAAACATCCACAAATGATATACAAACAATATAGTAACAATATAACATAACAACGTTATACTACATAACTATGGTAACAGGTATTGGATCAGCAGGATGGGAAGTCTTATTTACTGCTGCGGGTACGGATATTGCATCACGATAATTAGGCGTTAATGTTTATTCAAGTACATATATCGATACAATTTTGCCGGAAACGTATGCGTAATGTCACAAATATGTGAAACATCCAATGCGTCAAGCCGGTATACATTCGCAAATAACGCATTCTTTTTACTGCAATGTATGTCGCTCGGAAAGTAAATCTAAACGAATTTCGGCCCTCAAATACATGTGACTCGGGTTATACACTATCTGATTTACTAAAAATATATTATATCTAAAAATTCTTACACACCTCGTTCCGGAAGATTTTTCTCTTTTACGCGTTTCCTACGTTTTTTCAATGTAGTGTTCTGAAATGTAGGAAAATGTGGCTCTCAAGATACAAAATACACTATAAACCCGTGTCGACGCAGTCGATAAATCTCGCAGATATGTTAGTAAAAAATTTTGAATAGAAATTATCGAAAATTCTAAAATAAATCCAGGTAATAATTAACATATAGCAATTAAAAGCACATCATCATGAATGAATTTAAATCAATTTACATAAAATTTCAAAAGAAAATACCGTGATATCATATCAAGATATATTCCATGTAGGTATGTTGAATATTTATTTCTTGAAATAATACAACAAATCTATATCTAGATCTAAACAAAATTTTCTTTGCATTCAGCGAAATTTTATATTCTCCTCAAAATTTGAATGAGAACGCATGTATTTGGCAAAAAAATTTGCAAAATATTTCACGGAATACGTGTTCGAGTATCATGAACGCAAATAATTCTTTTAATAATTCTGATTATTTATAGTAACAAATAATATAAATGATACAAATAATTCTTTCATGCATCGAATGCGTATGACGAGGAATTAAGGATTTAATCGAAGTTTACGACCAAATTTCAATGAAAGGGGAAAGCAGGTTTCCTCTTCATTTAATTTCTATTCATAGGAACAATACTGCTAAACTCAGAATTTTTTTGATTTTCAAACGATAATATTATACACTGTATAAAACATTCATACAATGTATACATGTATACAGAAATATAATTTATGTAACACATTTAATTCTTCGTAGGAATTTTTCTGGCAACGAATACTGATTCGTTAGAGCCGTGATTAAATTATTCGTGCGGTCGGTAAATACGCTCGACAATAACGCATATGCAGATAATACAGACATTGTCGTGTAAGTAATTGCGGAAATTTATGCTCGTAGCCCCGGTCGTGCCTGCGCACATTGCAACATTGAATACATTTACAGAATACAGTTACACACGGGAAATACGTTATTATACTATCACGCGCTGAACAAATGTTTGTAACGTTACACATATAATTGCAGTGTTGCTCGCGTAATGGGTGTGAAAGAATTTTTTATGTTCGCGTGTCATTGAATAATTTGTTGATTAATAATCAGATGGTCGCGGGATTCGCGCCCGCGGCGCGGCGTGTACAACTATTTTGTTCTAACATCACGATCATTAGCAAGCAGTCGCCGTGTTCAAATCAGTAAAATATGTATCGCAATTGCCGATCTATCAATCGCTAAGCAAAATTACAAATTAATAATGCTAGAGATACACGTTATTCAACGTACAGACCCAACTGGCTTATAATATCGTTCGGTTCTTAGCTTACTATTGGAAGTATTTCGCATCGCAACAGTACGGTACTAAAATAGAAACGAATATCGCGTTAAGCTATCAGCCATTTCTTAGTATTATACAACGTCAACAATTGCAACACTTCGACGAATAGCGTTTTCGCGATTACGAGTACTTTACGGACTAAATAAGAGAAAGTATTCCCAATTAATTAGGCCGGTTAAAAAAGCGCTCTCTCCATTTGTCGTTATTGCTTTTCTATTTTGAATAAATGAGAAATTTTTCAGATAAAAATGTTTTTACGTTGAAAAAATGGTATAAGAATTTAAAAAGAAAGTCATGAGTAATAACAATTTTCTTACTAATAATGATTTTCAGACGATTTTATTACTAAACGACAAAATGATTTTATATTTTATGCTGAATTTTTGCAAGAAGATATACTTTGACGTTTGAACCGATTCGAACAAATTAAAATTCTGGTTGCAACTTTGATTTAGAAAATTACCAAGACAACATTTTTTGTGGAATAAAAGTCTCAATTCCTTTCGAATAATTTTATAAATATATAACATATCTTTTTTATATAAAATTTGATTTTAATTTTATAAAATACTGTTAGAGAAGTGTCCCAGACACTAAATATTCTACTGTAATTGATCGGAAGTGCTGATTGTAAATGCAAATGTAATTGATTGCAAATGTTTTCTGTTTAAATTTGAAGCAACAGTTATCACAAAATTAAAAAAATACTTACATCACCGACGTTAGATATTTTAAAAATAACATTCAGTTTCAAGTAAAAAACGGAAGTTTTCTTTAATCCTATACATCGCATCATAAACGCATTATAATGTTTGCTTTAAAAAATGTGTAACTTGAAAAAATCTGAAACTTGTGCCGTCGAAGTTGAATGCAGAGTATAACCTGCTAGAACTTTGTGATAGAAATATTCTGTATCTTGCTACAGTCCAGTTGATTATTGCGACTGGTTGGAATCGAAAATATCTCTTCTCGGTGAACGCGTCTCCATATTTATTACGAATATTAAAAATTATATTTTTACTTCGTTACTTGTACTTCAGATATTGAATATATTTCGTAACTGTGCCAGTATCCTTATTCTATATACGCTATATTCTTATTATATTTCATGTAATTGCAGCAATTCTCTTAACGCGCTCACCAGGAAGAGCCTTCAACTATGTGAACATTCACCAGTGTACTTGGGAATAAATCAAAACATAAATTTCTCTTTGCCTTGCAGACCATACTTCAACGTGAGAACCTTCTGTTTCCTCAAACCAGCCGAATTATCAACTAAACGACTTCTCCCTCCGTTAAAAATTCATATACTTATCGCGATATGATCGCGATATAAAAATAGACTTCTTTCAAATTGCCCGTAAATAGCTATCTGAATACTAGCGCGGTTTAATACTATTATTACTTCTAAATATTCCTTCCCGTCCCGTTTCCAATACTTATTATACCCTTTATTGAGTATCTTATCAGCTTGGTCAACACGTACGAGTCTAATTGCGATAACCAAATAATTTTCTTCTCGATTAAAATTCTCTATCTTAAAACATTAACAGCTGGCATAGTATATATGTTAACAAAGTATTTAAATAATTGAATTTCGAACATGTTTTATGAGACAAATATATCCTTATCTTCTTTTTAAAACATTAATCTATTATTAAAATAGTATATAATTATCATATATATATATTATATATAATTTCTTTTAAAAAAAGTCTCTTTGAAAATGTCGTTTCTCTTGTAAGCAATAAGAAATTAAATATGATAATGTTAAAATGCTACAGTCAACCAGCTATTAAGGAATTAAGGAGAATCTCTGACATTCTTACCAGAAATACGTCACTAAAGAAATATATTACTGACTTATTATTAAATAAACAATAGTGTAATGATTGCTTAACTGAGCATACCTGTATGAAACTGATTAGTTTGACACGCGTCCATTTTGACACAAATTACTACTGAATGTCCAATTGTGCTGGACCCACTATATATAGATATACATATTTATCTTACTATAAATATTACTTTTAAGATAAGTATAACCTAACAAGTCAGAAGTGATCGCTAACGCTAATCATGTTTGACTCAGGAAACTGTTATTTTTCGTAATTAAGCCCGCGCTGCTCTCCGACATGGGTATCACGGCTGACTTTTCGCCTTTCGGTAACTTTGCGTGCGATTTTATATTCGGTTGTAAACCTTTCAGGATATTCTGAAAAAGAAGCCATGATGGTAGATTACATCTACAATTCAAATGAAGTTTGCGGCAATAATTATAGCCATTACCGCGAGATTTACACGATTATAGCCCGGGTAGCTTTTTCATCACATGCATATGATTTGCACGCGAATGCGTTCAGATTTACCTCTTTAAATGATCCTGGCGTAATTATGACGTAGAACAACGCATATCCTGGTATCCATAACATAGACGAGAGACTCAGGCATACGCCAACTATTTCTGCCCACGTGGGATACTCGTAGTCGCTGCCATATTTCAGTGGTTTGTATTGCACAATTTGGAATATGAAGATAAACTGCGAAAGTAAGAAAAGAAGCTTTTATTTTTGCTGCACATAATACATAGGAGCTATTCTGCACGAATCAGTTCCCTTTGAAGGGAACAATCAATCTTGATTCGCTATATAATTGGATGCAAACGTGATATGATACTTACGAGCATGATCACCGGCGCGAGTAAAATCCAGCATATATACCAGAATTTACTTAATCGAATACCCATCATCTGATGCACGCAGTCGCAGAACTTCTTCGCCCCGAAAATCCACGATATCGCGATCGTTTGGAAGAAGCACACCCACAGAATAGACATTCCGCTCGCGGAGTAGAAGTCCATCAGTTGGAAAATATAAATTCCCCCCTGAAACAGACGTAATATTTTGATTCCTTTCTTGTCGATAAATTGCGCCTGGAATTTTCGGTTGTACATAACGCGTATCGGATAGAAACATGTTTTCGGATACTAACGTTTGTGACCATCGGAATTCCTAGAGCGAACATTATCAGGCAGATAGCGATGGTGAATTTGATTCTGTGAGGACGAAGGGTATCTGGCCAGTAGTCGACCATGCCGGTTATGAAAGATTCCACGATGCAAAATTCACTGTCGATGCCGAGTATCTGTGTGAAAACGGAATGATTCGTATATAATTTAAGATTTAAATAATGACTCGGTAAAATTCTAGTTTCTCCATATGCTTGACCGTTGCTCCAAAATCTAGATTTAAATTTAACACGATACATTTACAGCGTTACGTTAATATTGTTATTTAACAGCTATTTACCAGCTAGAGAAATGTATTTCTTATTACTATTTATACAATTATTTTAATTTACTATTCGATATTTATTAATCAATCTTGCGCAAAATAATTATACGAATAATAATTTGAGTTGGATTAGAAATTGATATTCTTAAGGAAAAAATTGAATAAAGTTTGATTCAAATAATTATACTGAATTTATAAATTGTGAAATTGTCTATAGGAAACTTTTAGAAATTTAATTTATTGTGCAAACATTTAAATTTGCTATTAAATAATTTCTTTTTAGAGAAAAATATTTTTTGAAGTACGTTTCTTAAACTTACTTTTTAATTTTGCACTTATATCGTTTCCTATGAACATTTCACAATTTCTTTTAATAAAAAGCAGCGATATTAAGTGACGATATATCGAGAGAAACTTCCTGCCGAGGGCGACAACATGTTCAAACCCTTTTATAGCGATGCACATGAACAAATATAGACGGCGACAGCCGATTCCGTCGTTGGAATAACAATTTCTTACGAGCAGCATAACGAAGAATATAATGGCCCACAACGAAGCACCGGGTAGCTTCAAAACGACCTCGGGATACGTGAGGAAGACGAGACCAGGTCCGCTCTTGACGACCTCGGACACCTGCGTTTGCTGTTCTTGGGCGATGTGACCCAGTATCGAAAACGTTACGCAACCGGCCAGAAGACATGTCAGGGTGTTGACTACGCAAGTGATTATTGCGTCTCTGCAAGACAAAACTATCTTTTTGAAAGACCCCAGCAGCGACGTCACTGCGTTTAGTGCGTCGTTATATAACTACATCTTTCTTGAATCATAATTTACGAAATAAGAACCAACGAATTCTGAAGTGGCTAAAGTAGCGATTATGTGGATTGTTCGAAAACCACTTGGAGCTGCAAGACGAATTCAATTCAATTAGGGAAACATATGCTCTTATCATCTTTTTTTTTCACACATTGGTGCCTCAACATTCTGACGAAAAATCGATGAATATTATTTAATCGGGCAAGCAAAATCTATTATCAAAATTTTAACGCTGTGGAAGCGAGGACGTCTTATCGGTGTCCAGCTACGGGTGGAACAGCTGCGCGTCGCTTACCTATAACAATTATGATGGAACTTGTTGTACGAGCCCAGAGCGGGCAGGGCACCGGTGCCGATGCTGTACGCGAAGAAGATCTGGGTAGCACCGTCTATCCACGGTCCGGGATTGAGCAATTCCTCCCATCGTGGCGTCACGTAGTAAAGCAAACCGTCAACGGAACCCTCCAACGTCACCGCTCTTCCCAAAAGAATGAAAAGCACCACGTACGGGAACAAGGCTGAAAACCAGATGATCTTACCGCTCTGATGAAGACCGCGACGGATGATAAAGTAAACGAGCAGCCAGCCGACAATCAGGCAGCCTAGCAGCTCCCACTGGATCTTGCCGATACTCTCGATGCCGGATGTAATGCCGAGGACCCGCTGTCTGAAAGTTCAATGCCGTTTTTTGCCAGTCGGTTCGAATGGTTACATTCGACATAAAGCTGTGATAATTAATATGAAATATTGCAAACGTTATTTTACAGAAAGCGCTTCTAAAAGGAAGGAAATGACGTAAGCTTAAATATCAGATTGAATTAAAATTATGCATATTATCCGATTGCACTAACAATGTACACGTGTGAAAATTGCATTTTTACAACGCAATGATTTTTTATTTTGCTTGACTTGTTTCGTAAGATATATCTAATCTAATGACAGTTTTTTAATGATTTTAATTCGATAAATTGCAAATCTGCAATGCACGTGTAAACGCATTCTGCCAGCATTATTATATCATCGATATTTTACATTATGTAATTGCATTTATACACGAGGGAACTCTATACTATGACCTGATTTGAGAAAATCAATGTTGCATTTCTTATAGTTGTTTCATCGCGTAAGTCCCCTAATAACTTTCATCTTACATCAGAGCCTATATGACTCACAAGCACTGCCCAAGGGATATAAATCTGATGCATATATAATACCACTTCCATTTCATTAAACTCAAAGCTTTCGAGTTTGAAAAGTTTCTTTCGAGAGATTACACTTTATTGAAAAAAGATGGAATGAGATTGAGGGTTTTTTCCATCACATTCATTGTGTACACTTTATGTACAGCATTTTATATGTGTTTCATATTTTGTATAGCACTTTTTAATGCTTTACTTACTCCCAATATTCTTCTACTGGCGTGGTATGATGATAGGTACTATTTTCAGTGAAATTCGAATAGTTTATTTTTCCGTACATACTCTTGTTTTCTTGGTTCGCATCGTAACAATCGTCCGTGTTCCACCAGTTTCCTGAAAAGGAAATAATTTATTACATTTTATGGTAAAGAGACGTTATTAGATTCATTCAGAGTTTTATGGTATTATAGTATCTTATATCAATATATCGTCTAAAAATAAAAACACGGAATTAAAAACATCAAAATATTTTTAATTATCTTATTTTTTAAGCAATACTATGAAGTACGATACTACATAAATGTTAGCGTTTAATAATTGAAAAGTATGTTATTTACCACATCCACTCCAAGGTACTTTCGGTAAATTCACGAATGTGCTTATGAGGTAGAAAAGAGTCCAAGAAATAATTATGCAGTAATATACGTCGAGAAAAAATACAATGGTCATCGTAGCATACCCCACACCTGAAATCCGATAATATATTTGCGATCATTAATTTCTTGTTGACATACCTAGATTATATAATCTTGATGTCGGGAAATGTCAAGAAATAATTATTACCTTGCAAAAGAGGACATAATTGTCCTACTAGCGACATTCCGCCAGCTCCAAGATATTGTCCAATGGCGACTTCTTGAAAAAATATAGGGATTCCGCAAAACAGCATTGCAATTCCATAAGTGATCAAGAAAGCGCCTGCGACAAAATTCCAAAGTAAAAAAAAGTTTTATGGAAATAATAATAATTTTTATGTCACAGAAATAATCTGTCGCGATCGCGCAATCTAAACTTAAGCAACTTTGACTTGTTTTCTTTTTTAATTTTATTTTATTTTAAATAAACATGAAAGAAATTTAGTTAAACAGCGAGATAGTAATCAAACTCGAGAAGACCGCAAACATTAAATTTTAATGCATGCCATTAAATCATTATGTTAAAGATTGCATGACTTCATAAATTAGAAGGCAATTATAAATGTCGGACATTATTGAAATCCGATGCTGTCTGTATCCTCGACTTACAACGGCAAATTTAATTAAAGCACGGAGGAGAAACTTCTAAATAGAACAACAGAGTTCTGTTACTTTATATTAAATTTATATTAAATACTTAATATTAACACCATTAATTATAAATATTTTCCATGTTAGCTGCGTTAGCAAAATAAATCTTAAAGTGAGAGATTCTTTTAATTAAAAATAAATCTTGTAATTTGTAATAATGAAAAATTTGATAACATTTGATAAAATATAATACAATTATGAATTTACACGATGATTGAAAATCTTAACATTTAAAGAGCGTTTATAATATATTTATAAATTAATATTATGAATAAAAGTTTTAACATTTGAGAACCGTTTATGTGTAAATCCAGCAGCGTTGACACTTACCACCACCATTTTTATAACACAGATAAGGGAATCGCCAGACGTTTCCCAATCCGACAGAAACGCTTATGCAAGAAAATAGGAAGTCGAGTTTATTGTCCCAGCCGCCGCGTTCGGCATCCTCCTCCCTTTTACCGAGTTCAGTCATTTTACCCTGCGGCGAAGACACCGTCATCTTCGGCACAGCACGAGACGTCTCGCGTCTCTTGTCCGCCACTGATTTGGCCTTGAATTGTATGAAGGTCTGATCAGGATCGACCTGATCCTTCTCCTCGCCCCAGTAATACATTTTCTCCGCCATGGAGCCTGAAACATGTCGAAAGTTGACACTAAGTATCAGAGAAGGAAGCGTTAAACCAGTCCTTGAACGTAATTGGAAGGATGAAACGCAAATTCTTGCGACCTTCGTGCGATCGATTATTATGAATTTGTCCTATGTTATAACGCAGTTAAGCTATAATATTCTGCTAGAAAGATACACGCGATGTCTTGCTATAACTTGATAGAATATGAGAAAACTTTACAGTTTCATTCTTTTAATGTTTTTTGAGAAATTAAAAATTGACAAATAAATGAAAAATCGCGAGCATTTATTCTGTGAAAATAATAATCTAATCCTCAAGTAGTTCTATACTAATCAAGTAGTTCTATACTTATTAATTCAAGAATAATTAAGCTTCTTCTTGTTTCTTTAAATTTCTTTGAAAATTAAGTTTTAAAACATTTGGGTTTCCTTCTATTTTTTCAAGTTCTATTCTGAAAAAAGACAAGAACGTTTCCTCTTTTTTTTACGAGTTTACAAAGTTTTACAAACTTTTTATTGATATTTTTTTTATTCGACTAATTATAAAGATTGCTTCAAAACATGCAGATTTCTTTCTTGAAAGAGAATTAATCTCACTAATGTTAGCAACAATTTAGATTTCCGAGAAAGCAGTAATATAAATGCATATTTGCTCTAACACTGACATTTCGTCATGACCTCTATTGCATTCACAGGAAAAGAGCGATGCACCTAACGGTAAATTTCTCCGCCCACGCTTCGATAAGGTCCGGGCACGCAATTGTACGTAAATTACGAGTGTCGCTCGACGATTGCTTTTCCGATAGCTTTGCTCAGTTTTATTTACCTCGCCGATTTTCCAACATGTTTATAGATAGCGTATATACATATCATAAATATCGTTGACCTTTTCAACAATGTAATGTTGAAACGACGCAATTGTACACTAAGAATGGATCATTAATAACAGCGTAAGCTAAAAATGTAAATAATTTCTATATTTACATTAAACATAAAATAATTTCTATATTTACAATATTTATCGAGAACAACAGATATCTCTTGCATCTATTTTTTATTAATGTTTTCATTAAATTTTCATTAAATTTAATATTATTAAAATTGTAGTGCACTCTGAATATTCTTTTGACCATATTTTTATACATATAAAACAGTTTTCTCTTTTACGTTTCTAAGAAAAGAAAACAAATTTGAATTATTCACAGAAAAAAATAAAAGTAATCTTGCAATATTTCTTTTAGAGTCTATATTATTTGCTATTCTTTCTCTATATCTTCTTTAAATAATGTAAAATTAAATTCTCGCGGAGAGAGGATCATTTCCGACAGACTTTTAATATTCAACTTCAAACATTTCTGTAATTGATGCCGCAATTAAACTTTCATAAAAATATACATAGAATTAACCGAATGATAAATTTCTGTCCGCAATGCTGGATATCTTTTAGAATCATTTGCGCTCAATATCGCATTAACAGCTGAATTCTCTAATACCGTCAATGAGATGAATTTAAAAAAGAGGCAGAGATAATTATCTAACCAGGTTTGCTTAATTCAGACTCCTCCTGGTCAATTGCCTTGTACTCTTTCTGCAAAAACTTTGCATCGATCCTGGTCGGTGACCAGTGCGGAACCGGTTTCCTATTCAACGTATTCGCGACCATTCGTGCGTATTGTCGTTGTTACACGCGTTGTTTGCATTATCGCCGCGTATTCGCTCATTCTCATTCAAGTTCACCCCTCCTGCCCAGGAATCCTTTCCCTATTTCTTTCACGGTTGTAGCCCGGTTGATTCGGGATCGCCGATGAAGAGGGTGCACGTGCCAAATAGCGTATACACGTGCTACGTGCGTGCGTGTATGTAACCTGCATATGTTTGCGTTTAGATGCGCGCGCGCGCGCAGTTTGCCGTGCGCGCGCTCCACGCGCACGGATGCTGGACGCAAAATCAATATCAAGTTTACATCGCGCGTCTATGTACACACGTGGACTGTGAACCTCGTCGTCGAAAATTCGGACGCGTCGCAACGCCGAGGCCACTGATACCCAATCGGATTGCGATTGCGTCAGAACGTGATTGTATACTAGGATCAATCAGGAATACTTTGAATTAGAGGGTGGAAAAGGGAAGTCACGTAGAAAATAAAAGCGTACATGTTAGACGCAAAAACCCATGGAAAATTTGAAGCGAAAGATAAACTTTGAAGCGATATGTGAACGTAAATAAAAAATATATCTTATCTTGTAATTATCAATAAGAAAGAAAAATATTAAAATTATTGTGTTTCGTTAAAAGGAATATCTGAATCTTTAATTAAAGTCTTGATATTTTATTTAAAAAATATTAAAATCATTAAATTCTATACGTTCTCATAGTGCTAACGAAAATATGCTCAACATTTGTTTACCACGTTACTTAATATTTTTTAGCTCTTTTTAATATCGATATCAATATAATAAAAGATATTTTCGATGTTTTTTTAACACAGATTGATTAAGAAGTAGATTTAATGTAACGCGACAAGATTTTAACGAAAAACGATCATATATATAGAGCAAAAAGCATTAAAAGACAGTTAAATAGTATAATTAAGAAGAAATAAAAAGAATGTTAATGCGTAATTTAGTTATTCTCTCAAATATATTTAAAGTATTTAAAAAATTGCGACTTATAAATTTATTATTACGCGTAGTGTAATGCTACGTCCATTCTTGCCATAATTAACGGACCTTACATGCTATAACGATGCAGCTGCTGCATCATGCGCTTGCCTGTGCGAGGGAAATACTTAATCGTTAAACGAATCGCGTAGGTCGTGTACGAATATAATCTTGATCATTATACGATACGTGTTTATCGATTATCAGATACTTAAATTAGATTTGTTATTGTTAATTACAACGCATTATCAGCATTATCAGATACGTAACTTTACGCAATCTCTTTCTGATATGAGTAAATATAATTATATTATTTATAATAGTATTAATTTATAATAGTATTATTTATAATAGTATTAATTTTTTTACCGCCGCATGTAATTTGCGTCTCAGCCGGTGTGAGAAATTTTTGTTGTTTATTTACACTATTTATTCTAAATTTAAATAGAGATTTAAATCATTCAGACAACAAAACGAATCTTAAAATCTTAGTGTCTCAGTCGTGACAAAGTGCTATGACATTTATGCGATAAAAAATTCTATTTCAATATTATTTTTCGAACTTTGAATTGTCTTACCAAAGGGTGCGCACGGTGTTCCAACGTAGCAGCCGTGACCGTTGATTTTATAGTCTGGTGATAGTCGTAAAATTCAGTATTGCGTATAATCACATCGTACAAGGAAGCAGACGTTAGTTACGCCGCGTAGGACCGTTCACGCCCGACTCCGCTTCGGAGGAACAAATCCTCTTCCTGAATTCCTTCCGGGGCGGCTTTCCCGACCGGAATCGATCCCGGAGTGACTCACGCGAGTTCACTTGTCAAGGGTGACGTTCGGAAAAGCGCACTTTCAGAGCGAATGAGGTTTGTCTGACGTATATATCGTCACGTTGATCACGAATATCTGCGACCTACCCCACAAGAGTTGTAGTTACAGAATAATGCTCCGGTTCAAGATGGGGAATGTTACCCCTTTCGGACGCATGCGCATTTCTGTGCATCCCCCCTAAGCCGGCGAAGCAAAGTGACGGAGTCCTGGGGTCTGGTGGAGGCGGGCAGGACGTTTTACTCGATAAATAATCAAAGGGAGGGTGGCTCGACGCGTACACTGTATTTTATAAAGCTTTTTTTAAGATACTAACGAGAAGATGTGCTAACGAGAAGAACTCTCGTCGCCGTTTAATTTTTTTTCTACACAACTCTTCTTTTTCCGATGTTTCTCACACACAGTACTTTCTTATAATACTTTTTAATTAATCAAAATTAATTGAACATTTAGGTATATCTTCACGAAGAGAATTTTCTCTAAAAATTTACCCTGAAATCATGGTGGGACAACATGTACCACCAAGAATTTTATGCGAGCTATTAATATCTACCATAATAAAATATATTAATATCTATTACATTAAAATATAAAATATGTTTGATTAATTTTACTAAAATATATCTAGGAAATTTCAATAATTTTTCAAAATTTACCAATCTGCTCGGTAATTTTTCTCACGTTGTTTGTAAAATGTCTTTTGTATATTTTAAAAATTCCTTGGTTGCCAAGTTGTCCAAGTTTAAGGGTAAAATATAACAAAAAATTCTCTCTGTATTGTTATTTACTTGAAAAAATATTATGGATATGTAGTAAAATTGCATGTAAAATTTTAATATTTAGAACTGTTTGTAAAATATAAAAAGAATAATACCTATATAAAGCAATTTTGTTTATTCTAAACAAACATAGCGGTGAATAGAGTAATATTTTTATTGGAGATCCTAACATTGTTATACTAAAATAAAAACATTTATGTCGCATATTGATAGATTATCAACATAATCATTACTGGGAAAAAAATTCAATTGAGTTCTTGATTGGTGTATATTACAATTTATTATTATAAATTCGTAGATTTGAGAAGAAGTTATTCAGGTATTAGAGAAATTTATATAAACCAAATGTTAAAAGTTTAAATATTTATTTATAAAAGTTTTATATACATACATTCTATTGATATAATTGATATGAGATAGCACATGATCTTACGTAACGTTACGCACATTGGTTTTACGTAACTATTGCACTTCTTGAATGGTCGTTCGACTATTGTTCAATCTCAAAAATAAAATCTGGATTTTACATATTACATGTATAAAATATTTCTGTAAAAAGTTTTATAAATTTTCGTCAAATATAAATATTAGATAACTAAAAATCTTATCGGTATATATATAAACGCCGTCTCATCGTTTATGCAAATTACGTGTCATCTGCAAAGTTGACGCGCCGCCTTCGAGAAAACTTTTTCCCATGAGCATTGCTCAACGGAAGACCTCTTTGATGACGATCGTTCAATGAACATTGACAAGTCCCTTCAACATTCGCTCGATTGCTCGCTGGAATTGCTCGGTATCACGGTCTGACAGCCGCGTCGGTGTCGCAATTGCTTTGCTAATTTGTCAAAATCCTGAAAGCAACAACCCGTGTTACGGTCATATCGCATCAGCATTTGTGCAACACAATTAGAATTTCTTTCAAAATTCTAACGAATTGTTGCAGTTGTATTGCATCAGCATTTCTTTAGCGCAATTAAGATTTCCTTCAAAATTCTAGCAAAGTTTTTGAAAAGTGTCTTGCTCTAAAATGGTACTTCAAAGCCTTAAACAATGTAATCGCTCAGCCTATATCAATTTCTTTTAAAATAAAGTCTTGATTTTACATGTTACAAGTTACAAATATAAATCATTTTTGTATAAAATTTTATGATTTCTTTTGGGGCACAAATATTAAACAATTAAAAATGTTATCGGTATATAAACGTGTTACCGTTTATTGAAAAAATTAAAGGTGAGCGTAGAGATCGTTGCAATACTAATTAAACATTAATCTGACATTAATTAAACACAGAAAGAAGCTCTCTTTCTCTTTCTCTCTTTGTCTTGTTGTTACCTGAACGTCATTTGCGCCTGTCACTGTGTGAAGGGATTTCATTGATATTTTGCGATGCGCTTCTTTGAACGGTGAGAAATTTGGCTGTGGCATCCAATTCGTTCCGTAGGAGATCGGATGTACATCCCCGCGTGCCGCGTTGTTTGTGTCATTCGACGTTTCTGAGCGACCGCGTTCACAAACTGAGGTGATTTCGCCGTCGTCCATTGCCGCGTTCGCTTCAGTGGTTACGAGTGTCTCTTCCGCTCTGAGAGCGAAAATGTTTGCTCAAAAAACGTTTTATGTTATGTAAATTGTTATTATTATACGTAACACTATTTCTCTTGCTTTATTTTGCTTCTCTTGCAACGAACTAACAAGCTAACGCGCGAAGAGAAAAAATTAAAACACGAATTGCGATACTAACTCGTCCTGTGAATATTCCACGCAAGACTTGACTACCGCAAACGTATTCCCAAATTTAGATAAGGTTTCTTTAATGACAGTTTCCAAGCGATCTGTAGAGTTCGCGCATCCCAGAGCGATTATCGCGATCGACATCGCGACAATCCAACTAATAAAACTGGCCGACATCACCGGCGGCTGTATAGGTACAGGATAGTACGAGGACCAGACTTGTTGCCACCAGGGATACGAAATATCGCGATGTTCAGACTCCTACGTCGATGTAAAGTGTAAAATTAACTATAAAATTTAACGCTTAATCATTATATTCTTATAATAATTAGTTATACTAATTATAATAATTAGACTAAAGTTCTCTTGTTCCATAAAATATTTTTAATATTTTCTTCTTTGGAAAGAGTTATAGACAATTAATGCCCTTTTTCTAGCGTATACAAGCGCTTATCTTCTCTTTCATAAAAGCGGGCAATTCAAGCGTTACGAAAGCAATGCCTTTGTTAGTTACGGCAAGAATATAATAACGAGTTCACTCACGTAACTCCAATAATGCCAGACGCTGCAATAGAGTATCCTCTGGAGGATCAGCCATAGCCATAGAAGCGCGTTAACCGCGAGCCAGCTGACTGACACCTTGAAAAACGCACGTGTATAACGCACGGAAGGACATTAGCCAACACGGGAGATCGCAGAGACTTTTGTACCTGAAACCCTTTATAAATGAATGTCTCGCCTACGAGGCCCATGAGCCGCGTGGAGGACGGGGGATTCTTCCAGAGGACAAGTACCGCGGCTGTCAGAATTAGGAAGGACGGCAGGGTGTGGATAAAGTCCGGCCCGACCGCGATTTTCGCATATTCGCGGAAAACCCTGTGTCGCAGAAACAAAACCTCCTGGGGCACGGAAAGCAGGGTCCCTATCTGCGTGTGCAGCGCGCTCAGGCAGGACATTACTGCTAACGAGGCTGCGCGTCAGCCTGACCTCGGAATTATCCGTCACCGGCGAAAGAACGAATCGCGGTTATGGCGGTTATACAGCCGGTTACATCGAAACGTGTCTGACGTGCACGCCGAGATGAACCGCGAAAGCGAGCCTATCCTTTGTTCAAGAAAAAAGAACGAGTGACAGCGGCGGAAACACTGTAGCGTAAACGGTAGAAGTCGCGCGCTAATTCCGCTCGCTAGGTTCTGAGACACGATTATACTTTACGACGATACGAACGTTGCTAAGCTTAGTTGTTAAAAGTTGAAAATTACGAAGTCGCGCCACGTCTGTTCCGACAAACTGCGAATTTCCTGGAACGACTTGTTAATGGCGAAATTGTAATTAAAATTTTTAATTAATATCAAGTTTCTTGAAGTTGAAACTGGAAGAGTTGCAAAGAGGTTCAATTAAAATTTTGTGGAGGAAATAATTATGATGATATGAGAATTTCCGAGACAAAGGGGTGAAAGAGTTTCCAAGCGACTAGCGAACGTAAATGGATATTTTATTCATAAAAATTCGTAAAATTTATCTAAAAGCGACTGTAGGTTCTTGTCCGGCTATCATTATATACAATTATATACAATTTAACGTTTAAACAGTCTATATGAGGAAGTAATCAGGTCCGACAAAGGATCCACATTTAGGAAAGTCTTGTGGCGCGGTCACCATGTCGCTAGGTTCTCCGACTTGCAGGATAACATCTAAACCACGTGTCCAATCGGTCGCATGCTCATCCCGCAACATCCAATAACCTGCGAAGTCAAATAACAGTATTAGCCTCATAGAGTTAATACACCGCGTCGCTATTATACAATATGTCCCATATTTTGAAGACAAATTAAAGATCGATTTTTCTCGAAAAAATTTATAGAAATATTTCAATATTGGATATCTAACGATTAAACTAAAATTTAAAATTAAAAACCGAAAGTTTTCTTATTTATTATACATCTTGAAATTTAATTCGCAAAAAATTCTTTATCTGATCGCTAATAAATCATGAATTGCTGATATATCCTAGCCTATTTTAATGATAAAATTTGTATCTCCAATTTGTCGAAGAAAATTACCAAATTAACAATTAAAGTCGTTAGAATAGAGGCCTATATATTAAGTATTTATGTCAGTTCGATTAGCGAGAAGAGAGGATTTACCTGGATTATCGGCTTTAAACCGCAGCGCTACGGCACCGAACTTGGGCACGATGACGGTATCCTTGGATAACGCGCAATCGAGATTCCGCGAGAATAGCTGCCCCCTCTCATCGAGTTTTTTCACCTCTTGCAGTGACATACTTCGCCCAAATTGCTTGGCTCCCACCACGTAAAAACTATAGCCGTGTAGGTGATAAACTAGATCATTCAGACCACCTGTGGCAAAATGATGTTGGATTAACGGCCGTTCTTTAATAGAATTCTTTGTGGCGAAAAATTATTATCAAATTACCGCTATTCGTGACTTTAGCTAGAGAATTATTCTAATAATATTCAATTATATTATTATTTTATGATACTAAATTATACATTATGATTCTGAATATACACTGAATTATGTAACAAGAATTTTTTCCGCAGTATGAACAGGTCTAATAGAAAATGTATTAAAAAATAATCACGGCATGTAGGAAATCGTTAGGCAAATGGTCAATGAAAATATAATTCGACGAGAAATATCACGAACCCATGGTCGACTGCTACAATTAGTTTCGTGTAATTGCGAAGCTTTACGAAGGAGACCAATCGTTCCACGTGCTATTATCAGAAGTCGCGGGATTTCTTTCGGCTGTCGCAATCGTATTGGAAGAAATCGCGCTGACGCGTCAAATATTATTCTTGAAGCGAAATAATATACACCTCCCTCACGAGATTTATGATGATGGAAATCTCCAAATCAATAACTTGAACTTTTGCGGCACGAAACGCGGACATCGGGGTCAAGCGATAAATTCTATTATGCACTAATGTTCTCTCAGTCTCTCACGTGCCGCTTCGCTCTGTGAGATTATCCCCAAGCATCGGGGACTGTGTAATAAGCTTAATAAGCTACGTCGTATATAATATTACGCAGAAGACCGTATACTCCTTCATATAATGAGTTTTTGCAGTAACCTTGTCATGCGTTTCATATTATCTGCTTTATCTTGACTTTTATGCAAGATTCTGAAGTGTAACATATATAATACATGCGATGATTAACAAATATATACAATAATTTAAAAATTGTTTCTTAATCATAAAGTGTCCATTGAAATATTGATCATTAGAAATATGTTTAGTATGATCTTTGATTGGTATACGCAGTATAATGAAAAGAATCAAATTATGCTTAAGAAAGTATATGATTCTACTTTTTTATATATATAAATGCAGTTGCATCTTACATCTCTCTCTCTCAGTACACTATTATTTGAAAAATATAGATCTCACACTAAACAGTGAAAAATCTTCCTTTACTACTTTTTTCTTTCTTGACTTAAAAATGCTATAACTCAGCTCAATTATTAAATCACTCCGTATAATATCGATAAAATTACAGAGAAAGAAAAACGAAGAAATCTTGGGCCTCGTAAAATTACGGATGAAAAATCTATCTTTGCCATCTTTTCTTAGACTTTCTAAACATATGAAATAAAACAGACATCTGGACCTTGGATGAGAACGGAAGAGAAAAGGATTGTAGAAAAACGTGGAAAACTCAAATTAATCAAGAACGTACACGAGACGAACGAACACGTGTCATCACGAGTCGCATTTACGTTTTGATCACGTTTAAATGAGACTAATTACCCTGGTCCAAGAGAATAATCTCGACGGTGGCCCCGAGCGGCACGTGACGCACGTGCACGCACTCGCATATGTCGCCCGCGCCAACATCGCCGACCGGACGGCACCGTCGTCGCGATACGGTCTCGTTGCCCTCATTGAGATCGTCCTCGTTGCCGTCGCTGTTAGTGCACAGCATCCCCGGGGACACATCCCCACCTTGTGTCAATAGCGGTGACGACGGAAACGTGAAAGTGGCGTTGTCCACGTTCAACACTCGCGTCTCCGTCCCGCCGTTACCTGGACAGGAGGAAAGATTTTTGATTGAGTTGCGATTAGATAATCGAGCTTAATTGCGCGTCGCTCCCTCGATTCGAAACTATCCTGCGGCTCTCTTAATATCTATTTAATTACGCACTGTTTTCTCGATGTGCGTTGCGATGCGAGCGTCCGGAAATTTCTTCTCCGCGTGTACAAAAAGTGATCGATGAAAATGTAGACCGTCCCATTATCGGTGCCTCATTAGCAACTAGATATTTCTAAGTGAATTTAGAGAGTTTTTCATGACGAAAATTTGATGAGAAATCAATACAGCATCTTCTACATTCAATATTTTGATGAGTTACAATAAAATCACGTAAAATTTTTATTGCAATCAAATTAGTTGAAATTTAAAAGTAAAATTTATATTTTTTAAATTTAATTTTGCTTCAACTTTTAATAATATTGTAGTTAAGTTTTTTGCGTTAATCATCTTAAGGGAAAAGATAAACTCTTAACTTAATTCATTAAAAAGTTAATCGGAAAGAAGTTTTGTGATTGTAAAAAAAAATAAAAGTGGTGAAAGTGCTTTCTAATCGGGATACGCTATTATGTAGAGTAGCAGCAAAATTTTTATAACCCGGATTTGAATATAATGCGGTGAATAAAAAATAGTGGTGAAACTTAGTTGGAAGAATTTGTATCGGTCAAGTCTGCCCGCGTTAATTAATGCCCCGTGCAATTATATCCCAGTTTTAATTGGCACTTTCACTCCCATCAGGCGCTTCCATTAGTTTTTTTTTTTTTTACGTTAGTTACGCACCTATCAGTTCCGTCGCTTGCATCTTGTAGTTAATCGGCAGGTACAGTGTCACATCCGTCTTGGGATTAGTCAGTATCTGCGGCATTTTGCGAATATTTTGAATATCCATGGCGCACAAATTCTCTCGATCGCCGCATTTCTGGGCGGGATTTGTCGTCACGGCCAGCCGGTCCGATCCTATCTCGTGGATATCGCGTTGATCGATAACTTCCGCCATTGCTGCAGGATTTTCCGAATTGCCTTTATAGTTGAGTATCGCCGCGCCATTTATCGCGCTCGTTCCACATTCCTTCGTTGTATGAACGTTCATCCAGTAGGAACCGATGCGTTTGCTCGCTTTGAGGACAAAGTCCGCCCTTTCACCTTTAACGAATATTGAAGACTGCTCAAGTCTCGGCGTACTCGATGAAAATCGGATTCGGATGAGGAATCGGGAAATGAAATCTCGCTTTGTGTGAACAATGACAAAGCTAGGCCATCGATCTTACGTTTGCAATATTGAATTCTAACTCGCTTACAAATCCTTAAAAGGTAAAAGTTGCGCGGCGTGCCACTTAAAACTCAGTGTACCCGAAAGCGGAAGCGTTTAAGAAAATAAATGTCATCGACTGTTACTTAATTTACAACTGAAGAATCAAGCCAACTTGTGAGACTTGCGCAAGATGTTTTCACCGTTTGCCGTTCTTGGGTCTAATCGCTTTACGCAATCAACTTCTTAAGTCTTAAAAAAGTATGCAGGATGTAAATCGGAGATATTTCGATCAAATGTATTCAATTTTTTCTCTCGACGATATCGGAAGATCGTTAAACGTAAAATCGACATGTGTCTGCACCGTGCTTAGCGTATAGAGATCCGATTGAATTCCGAGGGAAAAATTAACAGGACTCCAACCTTTGGCCAGAGTAATCGAAGTGACGTGTCGCGACTCTATAGGATGTCCGTCGAGCGCGATCAGGAAAAGCGGATGGCTGTCGACGGAAAGCGTCACCGGGCATGCACCGGCACCTCCGGCATTAGCGACGCGAAATCTGTGACGTCGTCCTGGAATGACCGTGAATGTGCTCAGAGGAGTCGCGGGTCCGCTGGGCTGCCGACCTCGTCCATTGATTAAAAGAATTGCCGGTTTCGAATGACCCTGATTAAACGATACTTCCGGCGAATGTTGCCACTGGGTCACCAGAACCACGTGATTAGGATCGTCGATGTCGTAAAGGGCACGATGGGGTTCCCGAAGGTCCGCCTGTCTCACGATCAACGATCCGATAATGCCATTTGTGATGTCGGCTCCTGAAAAGTTTTTGTTTGTTTGTTTGTTTTTCGAAAAATGAATCAAACAATTTGTATGCTGGTCATATATTGTATAATTCGTTGCGTTGGAAAATCATAATTAATTATTAATAATTAAAAGTAAATCGATAATATATAAGTCAACATCGTGAAAAATTAAATCTATTGACATCCGATATAAAACAACTTAAAAATAAAATATGCATATCCTTAATTTTGAATTCTATAAATAATTTTATAGATGATAGATAAAATATATATATAACAATTTTATAGATAATTAAAATTGAAGAAGTATAATTTTATAAATAAATTCTTATTAATAAATTAAAATACATTAATTAATTTGATTAATTTTAAATCGATGGCAATATTTGCAAAGTATAGATATAAATTTTAATTAAATATGTGAGTTTTGTAAATGCTTTTTATTGCGATCCACAAAATATTCAGCGCAAATAACAATTACCAACCTGCATGTGCATGCCAGAGATGTGTGCCCGGTGTGGAAGCGCGAAATTTGTATTGGAAAGTGGTGTAACTTGGTATCGGACATTGCGTGACCAATGGTGCGCCATCCATGTAAGGCATCTCCATTTGCGTTTGTCCACGCCAATGTACCGCTGCTGCTTTGCCAGGAAGACGATTTATCACATCCACCACTAGGATATCGTTTTCACAAACCTGTAAAAGCGTAAACACGTGTGAAAGTTCGCAACTAATCATCGGGCGCGATCATTAGAAATGTTTACTGAGACGTTAGAGACGTGCTTACGAACAAGACCACTATATAGTTATAATTTTGATTGTTACCGTGAAAGTAATATTATAATATGTAATAATAAATGCATTTAATAACTGACTTTAATATATATTGTTCTTGTTTCATTTTAGATCATTGTTACACATATATATAACTATAAAAAAATATTCAATATTTATATCTTTAGAAAAATTTTATTTAATTTTGATTTCATATAGTTTTGAATATAAAAAATTAAAATTTTAACATTTTAATTTGTATTAAATAGCATCTGATTTAGTTCTTCCTTTAAATACTTTCAATTTCAAGTATCATCAGGTTTAAGTAACATGTCCGATGAAACTTTCTTTTCTTTCTCGGTTAGAAATAGAAATAAACGTTTTAAAAGTGTATTAAAGAATACCAAACAAAAATGACATAACAGATTTAAGAGAGGCTGTTAAAAATGGGTAATTAGCACTTGATTCCGCGAAGTGAGAAAAGGCACTTAGCTTCAATCAACATTTCTAAAGCTTCGGAATGTTTGCGGCCAAGGAAGACCAATCGGATGCCTAGCAAATTTCGCTTCACTTCAAAGTGTTCACTCAGTTAAACGAGGCACGTGCGCGAAATTATTCCTATATATTGAAGGGGCGTAATTAATTACCAAGAGTGTGTATATTGAGTACGTGTCTCAATCATCACGCGGCATTTAATTTTAACACGAGATAGAACCTCCATTTTCATTGCAATTACGGATTACTAATTGCATATGAAAGCGTATTGATGTTGGCGGAGCCGCGTGAAACAGAACACATTCGATTCTACATAAATTTAATGCAATTTTTCTAAAATTATAGCAACCACATAGCAGCGAGAACACATTCGTATCATGGAATTAATCGTACATTACCGATCAATTGCATATAATATCTACTCATCAGTTTAATCTCGAGTCCCAAAGTAAAATTCAATATTCAATTATTCAGTTAATACCTAATTCCGGATTTAGTTTAATAATAATCAAACTAAATATATAACTGAATTGATATTTACTTGACAGCTAAACTCGTTCTATGATTGCTCCCGCGTCTTAGACAATAAAATTGCAAAATAACACGGAAAATTCTCAATGCGTATAATAAATCATTATGGTGTATATGCTCTAATTAAAGAGAAAGGGAGAGTGTAGAAAGGAACCGTGCGATATCGTAAGCAAATTGTGCTCTTGCACTGAACTTCATTGAATTCCCGGCGGTAAGTGTGATGCACCCGGACTATTGATCGCTGGTTGAACATCGAGGTCATACCTGAATACTGGGTCCTGGCATTTGACGATTGGCCGTAAGTATACCCCGTCTCTGTCCATCCGCGGAAATGCAATGGTTAGCCAAGCATGCCGTCTGATTCAATAGACAGTCACCGCATGATCTATAAGGAACGTCGTAAAATCGCAATCTCTATAGCAGCTCTAAAGCAAGTACACACCTACTGGAAGAAATCAAATCGTCGTACTGTAACTTTGTTAGAGTTTTGCACGAGAAACTTTTCGTGAAATTCCTCATTTACTTGCCTTATACAGATTTTCCGGTGACCTTCTAAAAATACTTTCACATACGCGAAGATAAGTTATTGCATATAAGTGCAATTTTTGCAAGAAAAATAATACTGGATGATTACAACATCTTAATTGAAGACGGTTGATATGAATGAATTATTCGTACGATTTATGAAAGATGAAAGGTAGCGGACTGTATTATTTAGTGTAACAAATACTTGCACCGTTTATTTAATTTTATTCGCGTTTATCAAATAACTGTGAGATCGTCGATTTGGTCTCCCCGATAAGAATTAAGAATAGTCCTGTGCCTAATGCGATATTCGTTTTGCTTGTCAGTTTCGACGACACATCGCACGATTGATCGCGAGAGTCTTCCGCATTACACCGGTTAACGCTTAGAAATTGCGTAAGAGCTTATTACGCCCCGACGAGTCCGAAACCGCCGATGCGGCACTATATATGCGCTGCCATAATCGTTGCACGGTTAACGTAACACCCAGTAGAAAAATCGCTACAATTGCTACAATAATCCTGCAATCGCAAAAAAGGAATTCTGTAATAATAGCGCACGTAAAGAAAGATATAATTGCCTTGCATGAGGCAATTACGATCTAAGACGCGTGTTTTATTAGATACATATAGAGACACTTTCCCTTTCGAGTGTATCTTTTTGTTTGAAATGTTCGAATAAGTGAATTTTCCATAAGAGGATACAGAAGTTAATGTATTCATGACTTAACTTCTCAAGGTTGTTACCTTAATATAAAATAGATATAATTATAATATAGATATTTTACAAAGTAGAAGATAAACGCAATTTTCGCGTTTGTTTTTTGCGCAATACTTAGCAACTCAACTTTCATGTAATACATTCTTATCTAATTTTCTTATATTTTTCATAATACATATTAAATTTATACACAACTGGCTGAAATATATTACTATGCAAATCCATTACAAAATATAAGTAACTAAAATTTAAATATCTAATTCTCTTCGCGAAACCTTTATGATATATATTCTTCCCTAAATCCTTCTGGCTCGATTTATTTATTGCTTTCTTTATTTTCCATATACACAACATTTAAATATCTACTTTAATTTGAAGAATTCTTCGAAAATATGTAAAAGAAATATAAAAGAAAAATGAAAATATAAAGACACGTAAAAATATCATAATTCGACGCTTGCTGATTATTTATTAGATTATCAAAACGCTGATCACCTATGTTAGTGCGATACTCAGCCCCATTTGAGAGTCCGCGTAAAAACAGGATGAGTATTATGGCTTTTAATATTTTTTTACGTATAATAAAGTTTATCGAGTGTCACGAGTATGTAGATACTAGGTCTTTACAAAACGGATTTAAGGCGCAGCTAAGTGATTTTCTGGCTTACTTGCTGAGCGTTTGGAAGACTTCTAAGGTGAGTTTCACCCGGCAGATCATAGGCCAATCCAAGTGGTGACACGGTCTGTCACAGGAGAGGAATGTTTGTTCTGGAAAAGAAAAATAGAAAGAGTCAAGGAAAGAAAGCAAGGAAAAAAAACATTTTTATCCTCGAAGCGAAGAAAGCAGTTTTCCTTGCCCCCGTCAACCGCAAAAGAAAATCCAAACCGCCAATTGGTATAAGAGATGAAAGTTCAAATCACATAGAAAGTGCCACGTAAAGTGCGTATAGTAAAGAAAAGTTAATGATGCGCGCACATGGTAGGTACACACATCGGATGCTGCGCGCATTAGGAAGAACAAAAATACACTTTGCACATTATCATTATGGTCATCATTATTTATCGTTATTGTATAGCAGAGCTCTAGACTGCATTAGCAAGCATTAAGTCGTTTTTAACAGATTATAACTATAAGTCTTCCTGTATTCAAGTACGTCTTACAATTAACGTTATTAAACATGTACCCATTCTAAAACGTACTGTTTTAATGAGGGAAATTTAGGGATTATGGGACACAGAGGACTTACATGAAGCCTGCGTATGTCCGCGCACTTTAACTTTTATAAACTAATTGATTCAACTTACTGGGCCTGTAATTGTTAATATGCAAAAATGTGGCCGCAGCGAAGATCATAGTGACAACCACGAGACATCGTAGAATGTACGTAGTCGGTGTCGCCACATGATGGTGACCGGATTTAGGGGAATACATCGCCTACCAACGTTGTTATGCGACGATAACAAGAGGTGACGACATTTATTCCTCGTGAGCTTTAGAGAGATCGACGGATTGCGGATGCAATTTAGGTGAACGATTAATGTTCACAAAGTATACATGTGTCGATTAAATTGTCGAAAACCATGAAGGCTATTAAGCAGCGAGGTGTGTGTATTTAATGACCAATTGTCGAGATATCGTAAATTTCTGTCAATAAGCGAGAATCATTTTTTGTTTCCATTAGATTGAGTTTTCTGCTGAAAGGCTTTGAACCAAATATCGGTGTCAAGGGTAATAAAAATGGAGGCGCCCGGTGGAGAAAACCGACTCTGAAAAGAAAAGAGTAGCCATTTGTATGAGACGAGACCGAAAGTTGAGTCGTTGCTTGCCTCGTTAGGCAGACTCTTTCAAGCTCCCGTCTTTGAAACAAGCCGTTCATCGATCAACTTTCGTGAGGCAACTGTGAACAAATTGTCGGAATCAATTTTGAAAAGTAATATAATTAACGATGATTAATCACGTATTGGATTTATCAGACGCTATTTGTCACGCTTTAACTACAATGCTTCTGAAAATTAACAAGTTCTTTATTTAATTATAATTGCAAAGTTGATAGGTTGTTCAAAGATTTTTCAACAGATTTTTATAATTATAAATGCAATGAGTTGTAATTATTTCCTTAAACTTAAATATCGCTATATTCCTGAATAAAGTAAGTCTTATGGATGAAAATCAACGGAATAGTAAGTAAGGTCAAGAACGTTTGTGCTATTGCCTTATAATCATTTTTTGTCCTCCATTAGATGATCATTATCACGTAAAGGCTTATTACGTGGACTAATCTAATATATTGTATAATATTCATATAACGTGTAATAATCCGGTCATGTGTGACGCACGGAATCACGCATTCGAGAATTCTCTTGACCGAAAACGTTAGTCACACTGCCATGAATTTCACCACAGGAATCTTTTTGCAGCACGGAAGCGAATTGTATAATACAAACGCATAGAGTTTATCTCCCAATTATAAGGTGATATGTTATCGAAATTCTGTATGAATAATTTCAATGTAAATTGCGACTCGCGTAATTTTTTTATAAAGTTTGAATCAACTATTGATACAAATATATAGGAAATCTTATCGGTGTTTTAAATCTAAATTATATCCTGTGTGCAATTTCGTTTATCTATCAATATATTGCATTACTACGTCTTGATTTATTCTATTTTTGGACATTAGCCTTCCATTGTGAAACGCAAAGTCATGTTTGCGTCAATCGATAATCTATTCATGCCGGTGTATCGCGTAGTTAATGCAATACGCGAACAATTATCAATCAAGCATTGTATCCCTAAACCTAGACGCGACAGAAAAAAAACGCAAGAAAAATACGACGAAAATAATTCGATTCCCTTAACGCGAAAAAAAACGTATATCAAAAGAAGACGTATATATGAGGAAGAATATAGATCTTTATGTCACTGCACCACTGCGGACATTTACGTGGGCGACCGATGTAACAAAACCGCGGGCACAGTCGCGCTTCTCGTCGAAGACTGATAGGAACACCGAGACTCCGAAATTCGTTGCCAGAACTGACGTTTCTCTCCCGCTCCCTTTCGCCGTTTCTATCGTTCCTTCTCGCTTCCTTATTGCCTTATGATCGATAGTACGTCTAAGTAAGAATTAGTTTGGGCTTCGCTTACTCGCGTAAAATCGTTTAAAGCGAATAAACCGGACCCGCAAGAAGAACAACGGTCAAAAGAAATAACACTGACAAAAGTCGCGGTAAAAGTATTTACGATAACTTTACGAGCGTTCGCTACATGGGAAATATGAGACTGCTTTTACGAATTACGACGTTGCCTGCATTATGTTTTATGGATTCAGTCGCATCGAACAATCGCGTCGTCGACAATAAAAGAATATTTCGTTACGCAAAAGCGGTTACAAAAAAGTTGATCGTATCAAGACTTTTTCCATTCGAATACAAATTGCTTGTTATTATGTTGTTGCAAAGAACCGCTGGGGCTGCGTACATTGATGCGGATGATAAATTAATCGAGATCGATCTGAAACTATTGAAGTATATACGCGATAAGTAACAACGCGACGTCTTTTATTTTATATTTTGCTATTAAATTGATATATCTGTCGTATATTATTTCATCAGTTTGAAATTGATTTTTATTAGCATATAAAAATATATCATGATGGGCTTGAAAGAAAAGTATTGAAACGACAATATTTTTAACACCCGGATATTTATCTGTCAACAACTAATAAAATCGAAAAGCGAATTTAGATCGCTAATGAAACGACGTCCTAAAGATGCCTAAAGATGATTATGATCGGGACGAAATGATGGCTGGATTCTCATAAATCACTACACCACTGTCGGTTATCGGCACGTGAACCTGCCGTGTAACGACCGACGACGTCGCCGGTACCGTCGCGCACCCGGTAGCCAACTGACGAGGAGGCCCAATTTCGTTGCTGCGGTCGTGCAAATGGTGACGTCATCGTTTTCCCTCTCTAGCCCACCCCGGTGGTCGTCTACGTCCTCCAGGACCAAAGATCATGATCGTTTTTTATGTACCCAACCAGCTTTTTATATGCGCATCCCCGCGCGATTGCGCCAACACCTCGCGTGTGTTGAACATGAGACGACCTGTATGCCCGAGATATGTGTCAGAGGCTCTGTAACGTCAGTGAAAGTTCGCCGGCGGGCCCCTCTGATCGCGGACCCCTACCATCCTCGAACAATCAGACCCCCGAGTTCCATCTCCCTCAGCCGGCCGCGCGAATACTTTCATCTCCCGACCTTTCTCCTTCGAGTTGGTCCAGACGGCGCATAGATTTCGCTTTCGCTGATGCCCAATCGATTCCACTTTTACTTATGGATGGATAGAAACAGTCGCTACTATATGTGATGGAAAACAAGTGACGTTTCGCTGTAGCAGGATACGTCTAAGCTCGCGTTTTCTTCGGTCATTCACTGAGATTGCGACATCGGCGGCTTGCTCGAGCAAAACTTTCTAGAGAGAAAGATAATCAGATATTTGGAATGTACCTGCATGATAAATCCATAGATTGAAGATGAAGGTGTAAAGTCGATGAATTTAATTATCCGCGCCGCGAAGTATTTCTCGGTCAATACAACGAGATGTTGGCATATCGAGAGAAACTATCCAAATTCGTTAGCGTAGGACAAAACATATGTATATATATAATGTACAAAATATATATAATATAAATATAATTCTCCCTATGCGCTTTTTTAAGATACTAGACACTACAGACGCGCGCTACGCGCGCGCTATTTATCTTTAACATTTCACTATTAACCCTATTATACACAACTGTCAAAATATACAATGACAGCTGCAAATGAAGTAAGCGCAGCAAGGAAACCAATCGGCATCGCGGAAAAGCGGCAACAATAAACTTCACATCTCCTTTTTAGAAAAGGATACAATCAATATTTAAAATTATTCCTTTGCAGTGGAAAAAAAGAAAGGATGAAAAAAAGGAAAAAAGTGAGAAAAAAAATAATAAAAATTTTAATAAAATTTGAATTATGATACAACCCTACTTTTTCTAAATCTCTTTTCTATCAAATTTCAAAATTTTTTCAAACAAGATTACTTTCTTCTTAAATCTAGTAGCAATTCTTTTTAAACAAAATTTTCTTTTAAGTTAAAATAAAATTAGAGATATAGCATGCAAAAGAATTAAATGATGAATGGCGTGGATTTGTGTAGAGTTAATTAGAATGATCGATTTAAGTTTAGAAAGAAATAAAATGGAAATTGCTGAAAACGACATGGCTTTGCATTTTTCTCCGGAAATGTATTACCGATACGTACAAAGCACTAAAGAAAACTGTTGCGTTTCCTGTCGTCATGACACAACAGTCCGAGCATTTTTTCTGCGCAAACATGTCAAAGATAGTACACGAAGGAAAGAGCTGTGTGAAGCCAGGGTACGATTATTAGACTTCGAGATCGATATGTCTATTAGAACATTTTTTTTGTCCGAGTATTTCACCCGCAAATTGATACGCAGAATGTTACATGAATAAAAATTTTTTAAACTTCAATGATTGGCAGTATACCATAAAATTATAACTCAAGCAAACATATCGCGAAATGTAAAATTCCTATACATTTCTCTTACGTGTTATTACCTAATACATATTGGATAACAAAGTTACATTACTTAGATCCGTACACATTACGTTATCTAATCCGTACTTAAAAACCGGTTGTCATTCACGTCATTCTGAGCAAATATGTTACTTCCTAACTTTGTAGGTATAAGAACGCGTGTTTCCAGTTGTCTCGAATAATAATTGGACATTATATCTTTCTGTTATTTAGTAGCTCTCCTTTAATTCTATTACGTTTCCGTCTTTGTCTGCTTATAAAGATGCATCAGGGAGAGTTGCTGGTAATGCAATCATCCGATCTAACTTAACTGTAACTCGCTGTCGCTCGAACATTGCTCAAAGTGAAACTGTTTAGTCGCGAATTTAGCGAAGTCATCGTAGTAAAACTAAAAACATTACTTGTCACTTAGGAAAGTGAAAGACACATCTGTTTCCATATTGCTAATAAAAATTATCTTCTCTCTTAACAAAGTTTCTTTTTCTTTAATTGATATATTAAGTAGTACTCGAGTGAAAATCTCTCTTGCATAAAAATGTTTTGCTCGATACATTTTGCGTTCTGCATTCAGCAGTTGCCGATATTGATCTCTATGTGATTCACTGGGTAATCAAGATTCTATTTATCTGAATGTGTTAAAAAGGAGGTTAATAATTTTGGCGTACGCATATACGATTGAAAATGCTGTAAAATAAGCTGTAAGAAAGAGAGAAAGGCTTTATTTAAATGAATAATGCTTTTCCTTCCTGTATCTTCTTAAGGTAAATGTACCAATGCCTGGATAGTCAATGGACACGTACCTATCTGGACACCATTATCATTTTAGTTCTTAAATAAGTATAACGCAAATTAAGATCACGGATAAAAATACTTTTTCTTGTATTTCGAAACTTTAGTTATAGTATCCAAACGTTAATTTGCGTTGTACTTATCTAAGGCATAGGTACGTATCCACTGATTGTCCAGGCATTGATACATTTGCCTTAATAATTTTATGGAAATGCAAAGCAATGTGAGTACATCGATCATATTTTACTTCGTTGCAATTTAATATTTTTACACTTCCTGCATTATGTTTTTTTCAATATTTATATTAGGTGACAATATACTTTCTATACTCTCGTTATTTATCAGGAAGTTTTCGGAGTGAGGCTCTCGAAATTATATGTTGTTGAAACAGCTTCATACAAAATAAAAGTCCACGCTTACCGTGTGTGATAATAATTGACGCTTTCACTTATTTAATTGAACGTAAAGCATCTCTCATACTTTTTACTATCTATTAAATTTAAACAAGTATCTCGTACGCGTATTTTGCTAATAAATACAACTTCTAGGAAGCGCGAATGGATCATGGATAGATTCACGTGCAAGTTACTAACATATATCTACGCAAGGCTGATCACGACAATCAATTTAATCGTCAAACGATCGCAAATGGCAAATGCACAATCGCGTATGTTTTGTTACCGAAATCATAAAATGTGTGATAGGTATAATCACGATCATCAACGAAAATTCAAAATCATGCATGTATAGGTATATAAATGTATATACGCTCATTTACTGATTGCGCAATTAAAGCAATAAAGATATATATATATATATATATATATATATCTAAATAAAAGTATTTATATATTATTTCCGTAATATAATTTTCGCACTATATCGACATGTATATAATCAACCAACACATCTTTCGTGTACGCATATTAATTATTCCCTATGCAATTTGTCCTTTCGATTAACAAATGTGTGCAAATTATTACGATGAGAAACTGGGAATAAATCGGAACATTTTTACACGCGATTTGTAATTTCCATAACAATTGCCAGGGAAAATTAAAAAGAAGTTGTTTAAAATTATTATACAAGAAATTATATACAAAAAATCTTAATAAGATTTTGTCTCCTGATTGAACAGATATCTATTATTAATTGCAAGCGAATAAAATGTTAGCGATTAGCTTTATAGCTTTTTAAATACATTTGTTTGTGAGTTACAATTAAAGTTGCTGGAAGGCAAAACACCGGTGAAACTTGCTATCAAAGCCTGAGCAATCACAAAGAATAAATTCTTGACGGATACTTTTTCGAAGTATAAAAGAGGAGAAAGTGAAAGATATTTAGTCAGCCACGAAAAAAGGCATTGATATTCGGACACGTTAAATTGTAATTAATAAAAAAATTCGAGCACCTCTAAAACGGAAGTGACCCATTATCGAAAAGCGACATTGTGTGGGCGCATGCTGTTGCACACTTTCACACAGGACTTTCGATTTTAGTGTCGGTACATTTTAACAACATAT